ATACTAAAACAATTAGACCCTTCGCCCTCAAGGGCCACGGGTCAATAGCCCATTCGGCTTCGCCTCATGGGCTATTGATCCGTAGCCCTTGCGGGCTACCGGTCTAATTGTTAATTAACGACTCAAACAGTGGTCTGGATTCTTCTGTATAATTTGTGGTTATAATTCAATCCAAATTGAAAATAAGTAATGTCAGAAACGGCTGAGCAAATAAAACCTAAAAAGTAGACCTTCAAGGGCTTATTTTGTCCAAAATTATTTTTTTAACACCAAATTCAAGACTTTTACTTTATCTGAATTTTCCAAAAAAAAAATTATTTTAAAAACTTAAAACGCGAACGAGTTATCCGCAAAAACGTAAGTTTTTAAACGAGTCACTGCACCGCAAACTGTGATAAGACAATGTGTCAACCCTTGACATGCTTGAGTAGTAAGTGACAGAAACTGAGCTCGTCCGCGAAGTCGTATTTCGCTTCTTTTGTTTTAAATCCCGTAAGTCTTGCAATTTCTCGCACAGAAATCCTCGCTTTTGTTGATTGATTGCCGCGGAATTACCGGCGAATTTAATTGCTGATATCCGACAAGGCAGCTTCTCCAAACGCTCCTTTCCTATGCTTCGAAGATTGTTTTTCCATATTCTAGAAAAACAAGCGGGCCGATGAATTACGCGTTTAGTTTTTTTTTTTTAAATGTGTCCATATCCGCACTAGACTCGTCTCGCCGAGTGGGCCTGTTCAAAGCTATTCTGCTATCATTCCTATTTTTTCCCTTTTCCTTCTTGACCATTTATCTGCTGATTCGGTTTATAAGCTGAATGTTTCACGACAGACTTCGCTACTAGTCTGCTACTCCCGATGTAAGATCTAAAGATATACTGTAAATGTAAACATTGCACTTCCATCGGGATACGTTACTCAGGTTACTGTAGGCCGCTGGGGAGTTCAAAGCTGTATTTCATTGGTTGGCGGTATGGCCACGTTGACAACTGCTTCAGTTAGGTGCGAAAACTGTGAATTTCTTTCGAGGCCGGTATTAGCACTGAGTACGGTCATTTTTGCGCTTAAAGGCTTGCGCGTGACTATCAAAACAAACATAGCAAAATTTGTTGTTATTTTCGGATTCTACAATTTATTAGCTTTAAAATGATATATACCGGTAGTTAACCGTGGTTTTCTTTAAAGCAGCGCGTAAAGAAAGCATTTTCCGGAAGGCAACCTGAAGGTCTACGGAACCTGTTATGCATTTCCATGGAGCCGTTGTTACGCAAACAATTAATCCTATCTTTCATGTGCGGTTTTCCATTAATAAACATGTTAATATTGGTTCATAAGGGGAGACCTCACGCAAGCGGAATATAAAATTTATTCACTGGCTGGCGTGTCCCGCTAGGCTAGCTTAGCTCAAAACCACTATCATCCGACAGGTGTATTTAACACAATCACTGCAAACTTAATATCACCAAAATAACATCACACCAATGGGAAAGAAACCGATCTCGTTTTTCATGCGAAACAATTCGCCCAGAATCGTTCAAACATGCAACTTAAAATGTGAAAATACGTAATCCTCTGCCTAACAACAAACTTATAAGTCAGAGCGCAATCTAACGCAAGCGAAATATCAATTTTTTTCTCCGCTCTCCGCGCGCGAATCCCGCCAGGTTAGATCAAAACAAGCTTAGTGTTTTAAAAATTTAACGTGTTAAACAAAGATAACTTAAGACATCTTCAGTTTAGTTTTAGCACAGTCGCTGCAAACTTAAGCTAAGTGCACCAAAATATCCGTGCAAAATAAGATCACACTTGCAGTTGAAAAGTAACCGATCGCACTTTGCAGGCGAACAATTCTTCCAGAATCGTTCAAAGCATACAACTTAAAATATGAAAATTACGTAATCTTCTGCCCCAGCAACTCACGTTCAACACGCTAGTGCCTCCAGCTACAGATCCAAGACACGTATCGTAGCCTTTCATATTGGAGCTTTTCTCCTTGGTAAACGCCAAGGCCACCCAGCCCGTCGCTTTCACTTCAACTGCAATGTACATCATGTCTGAAGTGGCGTTGTGCGTCCAGTACACATTATACTTGGAATCGTCATCCAAAGTAGCCTTGCTGTCGTACTCTGTTGAAAGATCTGCAAACGAAGTTCCACAGAACAGTAGCAAGGATACTACCACTGACAGCTCCATGTTCCGAAGCAACGCTGACGCCAATGACTCAGCAGCCGACTTTCGTCTTCAGGAATACCTGTCGTTCCGAGGAGGACTTGGTTCGAAAGCAGGACGGGGCAAGGGAAATTATTTATCAACTAAGCGTGCATTTCCTTTTATGCGTGTTTATCGAACGAAAAAAAAGAAAGACGCCAGCATCCAGCCATCCAAAGTGAACAAGCTTGGTCAATAAAGGATTTCTTTTATGGAAAAAGACTACTATTTTCTTTCAAGACTTAGCGGGTAATCCCGAGCGGACAAGATAGCTAGTACCGTTTAGCCCGCTCGGGTAGCCAATAATCGTATAAAGCAGGGTTTGGTTTATTTTGCCCGCTGACGGAGGTAAAATAAGCAAAATAATAACCACGAAAAAAAGCCTTGGCCAATATCAAGAGAGGATGATATCGGGCTCTCTTGTCGATATCCCGTTCTTATAATCCATCAATTAATTTCTATCGCACGCTATTGGTCAAAACTCGTAACGTGACCAAATATGTTCAAGCTGAAACCGTGGAATATCAGAGTGATATTCACCAATTTTCAAAGGAACCCGCTTGTTACGAAAAATATCTGAAGGATAATAAACAAAAAAGCGTTCATTTATGCTCGTAATATTTGTCCTTAGAGATTATCTGTTCCTCGAAACTCACAGTTTTCCTCGAGCTCTCGGAAAACTGTTCGCTTCTCGGAACAGATAATGTCCGCAAGCAAATATCTGAGCATATTTTCGTACCAAATGAAGGCTCTTGTTTATTTACTTATCCCACTAATTCGCCGTTTCACCAAATTAGGTCAGGAAAACGCGCAAAATATTTAGTAACATTATAAACACGCAAAGAAAACCACTTGGCCGATATCAGGCCTTATTATCCCACTGAGGAGCACATTAAGTCCAGAGAACGCGCGAAATATGAACCCTTATGGTATGGCTGACTTCGCGAGAGGGCAAGAGGAACCAAATGCTGGGCTGTGATTGGCTACCGAGCAGGCAAGATGCATGTGAGTAACCGGTCGTGTAGTCGATTAACCCCTAACCGTTTAGCCCCCGACCACCAGTCGAAAACACTCTATTTCTCGTTCTTTAAGCGTGATAACGTCCACTATAGCAGTTTTTCTAGACCTTGAGTGTGCATTGGTTCCTTAGAAACAAGGGACAACATCGATCTCATTTTTGGTAAATATCACACTTTTCCTCTTATCCAAAATAAGTTTAATAATTAAGTGATGGTAACCTTCCGTTTACAAAACAAATTAAAGCTAACCATTACACATTACTCTATAAAACCTTGCCCGATATCCAAGTCAATATAAACTGGAAGATCACCAGACCAAAATGGTGTACGGGGCCTTTGCTTTGCCACAAAAAGGAAGTGATATGTTTATATATAGTGCAAGCCCTGTCGTAAGCTACTTATAGCCTTGTTTCATATGACGCGATCTTTAACACGCATGTTCACGATTGTACGTTCTTGACATTAATCCACGTGATATTTCTTACGAAGCTCATTGGACCAAATGCACAGGAACCACGTGCAGCACACGAGGCATACTAATGTAATGATCACCGCGCCACTTCCGAGCATCTGTTGCGAATCGTGGAACTTGATCTGGCAATAAAATAATAATGACCCATTATTTGTGTGGCATGTTTGCTGTGCACGTAAAGCGGTCTAAGCTTTCCATGTAAGCAAACGCAGCGTCACCGCACTCGCCATTTCTAGACCCTCCTGCAATTTCTGAAACCGGATGTGATCTAAAAATATCTTGAAAGGGATGACCTTAGTAACAAGGCCTACATGAGAGATAAAAACTATCCCACTCTTCATTCTCTCTTTTCGAACGTGCGGTTCAACATTCGATCAGTGAAGGGGGGAAAACGTACCTCGCAACATTCTAAACGTACGTCTTCACGTTTTTCTTAGCTTTGCGCTGAACTATAGTTAGGGCACAACGTAATACGTTGTTACGGAATAAACAAAAGGTAGCCAGCAAAAGGTAGTTTTAATTGGTAGCAAGGAAAAGATTCTAAACCAATATATTTCTCCTATCTCTGGGCTCAGTTGTTAAAAGGCTGGAGAACGCTATCCAATGTATAAATCGCTATTCAATGGACAATTGGTGGCAAAACAAACTTCACTTGATATATCAATATTCTAACATGGCTCTGAGGTTTTCGGGTCAAAACTGTAAATTTTTAAAGTTTTTTTCTGTCCTTCAATTCCCAAAAGAGACTTCGATACAAAGAAAACAACACCAAACATAGAAGTTTGTCCTGAAAGCCTCGGAACCATGTTAGAATATTGATATATCTAACGTGGCCTATTACAATTAAGGATTGTGTAAGTTGAAAACGTGCAAGATCCTATTGAGACGGTACAGGCAGGGGTGAATCTCAGTTATAAGTTGATTGTCAGTGATTTCTCAGCTATCAATTAGAATTTCAGCCTATTCCTCAGCTAGCAGTGAATTTTGTAGATCTCAGCTCTCAGCTATAGGTTAAAAACGTGTCTTTTGATATAGCAACTACTGTCAGTTAAGTTTTTGGTCAGTTATCAACTACCGATACGTAACTGAAGCTCGTCCTTTCCCTTTATATGTGAGAGTCAGAAAAAATAGAAATTAGTCAAGCTAATCGTATGAAGGATTTACACTACGTATGATATTTGAAAATTCTCTCAAAATTGCACGAGTCTTTGAAGTAGACGAGTGCAACTTGAAAGAATTTTCAAATATCCTAAGTAGAGTAATTCCTGAATTGCTCGATCGAGCTTTCATACGATAACTCATTTATTATATGACAGAGAAAATTACGAACGCGTGCGTATTAATTTGCTCCGCGGTGCTAATTAAAAATAACGATAAATTGGCCTGCTCTCAGTGAGCCAATCATAATGGAGAGATTTTCTCGATCATATAATAAATAACCAAAATTTCATGATCACGAGGATATTAATTAAATCAGCTTGTAAATACAGTGAATCTCACTGGGTGGTGTTTTAGGAATATTCCTCGACCACCAGCTGCAGTGAAAAAGTTAATAAAAACTCCTTGTCCCTTTTACACCTAAACAGGAAGCGCTTTATAACCCCAAGTTTCGTTCCGAAGATAACTGTTGGACAACTTTCGATAAACACTCATCCATCCCTGCCCGCCAGACCGTTTAATTCTAAAAAAAATAACCGTTATTTACCTGTTATCTTCACGCGATTACGCGACCACGGGTTTTAACTTACTCTATTTCAGAGCAGATCAGAACATTCGACAGGATTAGAAACTGGCTCACTGTAAAGGAAGTCTAATTTCGTCTTGGAAGCCGAATGATGGTTCTTGGCTGCGTTCTTCCTCTTTTCTTACGTTCTAGTGTACTTGTGTACCAGCAGGGAATAGTTAAACTACAGTCACAACTGAAATCGATCTCTCCGCAGGTGATTAAAAACCTGGTGGGACGCATGCGTATGACGATATCTGAGCTGTAAGATTTCTTATCCGAAATGAGGAGAGGCCTGGGGATGAGTCGTGCTAAATCTTGTGTATATACCGAAGTCTCACTAATGATATGCACTTCAACACTTTTAAGACTCGTAAACCATTGTTTCACGACCCGTACGAGTCGTACGAAAAGGAAGATGCCATTTTCGGGTCGTATCAATTCTTGTACAATCCTCGACACAGCTTTAAATGAATTTCGCACTTTTCGACCAAGCTTTACAGAGCGTCGACTAAGACTGCCGTTATACATGCAAATTCATCAGATCGAGTAACCAGCGACTCCTTTCATTTAAGGAAAATTCAAAACATCCCTGTCAAAATACAGTTGCCATGGCAAAATCAATGGAAGTTTTTTTAACCAATTATTTATCAAACCGAATTGTTCTTAGAGAAGGGTAAGGAAAATTTACCAAATTTGGAATTCATTGCTACAATGCTTTTGATCAATGTCGCAAGAGTTCAAAGTTGGTTTCAGCATAGCTTTAGAATTGTTGTATTTAACCTACTCTCAAGTGAGGTTTTAAAGGGCGTTTTGTAGTTGTTTGCAAATCCGAGTGGTCAAATAGTGAGCCTGGGCCCCATATGCAAAATGGGGCCTGACTATAATCTAAACTTCTCAAACTCATTAATAATTCATCAAGTTTAAGCACTGGAAATCATGACTGTGACGGTGTTTGGATACCTGATCTTAATTAGCATAGATTTTTATGATTTTGCTCCCGTTTTCTTCTTAGTTTTAGTATCGATTGAGAAGATATAAACATTCAAGACAGTGTTTGATCACATTTCCCAATACCTCGAAGCTCGTCAAAAATACCCCGCTACGCTTCGCATTGTCAACCCGCTTCTAAGTGTGGCTATGAAATGTTTAAGCAAGCAACCGGAACGATGATCCTGTTGGTATACGTTGGATCAATAATGATCTAATCGGCTTCATATATAAAATGAAGAATACAAAAGCAAAAACCGACACAACGTCTAACGTAGGATGATTTTTTGAAGGTGTACTATATTTCAGCTGGCCAAACCAGCCTTCTTCGGGTATACTGAGAATTTTACATTGAGACGGGTTTTTATGTAGCCGATATTTTCGTAATACCGGAAATACGTAAAACTAATTGACAGTGTAAAAAGATAAGCATACGGTAAACTAAAATAACACAATAAAAGAACATAGTAAAAGGTGGAAATGTTATGTGCGAAAATAATAAGGCGAAAATAATAAGGTGAAAATAGTAAGTGTGGAAATGTTGTGAAACACAGTCTTTCGTCTTTGACATATTACTTGCACCAATGTTATCAGAACAGGCTATAATCATGGAGAAAGGTTTCTGGAAACCGGGTGGGGGGAGATATTGATTTTCAAGCCAACAGACCGCTCAAAATTGAGCAAAGTCTTCTTTATGAGATTGCTTTACCTTAATGGTAGTAAGCTAATAGATTTTTTTCGCGAAATCATTGTCATAATGACTTTAAAAGTGTTATTTGACAATAAAAATAAACGGTAAAAGTTTGCGACGTTTCGACCGCTCTTCGGTCATTATCAAGCAAGATGTAAGAAGTAAAATTTGCATAGATATATATGGCTACAAAGAGGTAAGAATGTGTGACAATTATTAATAAAGTAAAAATATGTAAAAAGTATGTAAAAGAATTTACAAAGTAGTGCTTAAAACAATAAAAACATGTAAAACTAATTAATAAAGAAAAAAAAAAGATTATTTAAAAACTTTCGCAACAGAGTCAGATTGTATAATCTGACTCTATTCGTGCGAAAGTTTTTTAATATATATATCTATGCAAATTTTACTTCTTGCAAATTTTACTTCTTACATCTTGCTTGATAATGACCGAAGAGCGGTCGAAACGTCGCAAACTTTTACCGTTTATTTTTATTGTCAAATGTTTTAAAAAACCCTTACTGATAAAAGTGTTATTCACACACAAATCTTGCCTTGCAACGCAAAAGAATATTTTGGAGGCTCATTGACTTTAAAACTTGCTGAGCAAAGAAACAAAGAGATCCTATTAATGACTCCTAATAGCCGAAAAATAGATTGTAGGAAAATAATATATGTGAAATTTCCTCTCGCTAATGGCATTATGACGAGTTCAGCTGGCAGTTAATTACTCCCAAATACGAGTGCTTTCATTAACATTTTGGGAATTAAAAAGAAAAAAAATTCGAAATTAAGAAAAATTTACGCCTGCGGTCGGCTTGGATTAGGAGGAACTAGCTCGCCGAGAAATTTGCTCAGTCAGTTTCATGCGACATGTTATAAAGGTACATTCGAATTAGCTGTACAGCTATAGGTTTTAGGGTTAGGGTTAGCGTTAGTTAATCTTTTGGGGTCATTCCCTTTAGATCAATGAAGCTGGAAAGTCGGGGACGACTTTGAAAGAAATAGCGCACTTAGGCATGAGAATCTCATGTCTCTATAAAGACTTCTAGTTGTTAGATCTTTTCTCAAGGATACTCTGAATTTTGCCGGTGGCTGGGTCATTGCATAATGTCCAGTCATTTTGTTTGCAACATATTCAAGATTCCTCCTTCGAAAACGCTTAGAAAAATGCGTTTTATATGTATCTGAAAAGTTTTGTATTTTGTCTTAAAACTGGGCCAGATATGTATACATTAGGCTCGATTTCCGCCGCTCTCCCGGGGTTCCCGAAACAGCGGCTGGTAATTGAGCCTACGTATGCGTGTGCAGTTCAATCTCTGTTTCTGGGCTGGGGTACAAGGCTCGTATTTTTAAGGCTATTTCAACCTGAAAATGCTTGTAAAATGTTGCTATATTTTCAACGCTAAAAGCAAAGTGATATTTCTGGAAATCATCCCAATGGGATATTGCAGTTAGCTCCAAGCTGGAATAAAAAAGAAATTGGAAAAAATAATAAAAAGTTGTTTTTCAAATTTCAAAACTGAAAAATAGAATTTATGAATATCTCAAGTTAAACTGCTTTCAGTTAAATTTTAACTGAACGACGCAGTTCATTAAAATTTAAATTTTAAACCTAGAATGATTCATTAAATTAAAGTAGCTATGTGCTATCTTTAGCTGTGATATCTTTTAAGTAGTGACCATCGCAGAGTTCAAGCTCACTAAAATATCTCTTTTGATAACTACCAACAAATGAAGATAAAACACATTTTTTTCGTCTTGCACCGTCTTTTGATAACTTTACTGGTTTATATACATGTAAGGGTTATTTCATGATATCGCTGGTAAAAAGCTAAAATATTCAAGCACACCAAATTAAATAACAGGCTTGGAGGAAATTAAAACTAACTTAGACGAAAACAGCTTGTAGCCACGAGTATCAATTGCGAAATCTGAATCTTAGCTCACATTTCCTAATGCACAACGTTCATTTTCAGAATCCCTGTGATTGCAACTGCATGCGGAAACTATAGAAATTGGTTAGCCTTGGAGATTTCTGATAGCATATGGTGAATGATTAAATACTTTTTCATGACATCTGCGGTAGAAGTTTTTTGTTGTTGGCGGAATTTCGTTTGATTTACTCCGTGGACGTTTTAAACGTGTTTTTTGGATTAAACTACAACTTCACTAAGAGGCCGCGGGCAGATAACTTCACAACACTAATTTACGCTTGATACTTTTTGCATTTTATGTCTTCTTCAATTTCTTTGATATTTTCAACAGCAATGGCTGGTTGGATGAAAGATTTATGACACCGCAGCGGGACTTTGAACAGTGGGTTCCGGTCTTTATTTTGCCGAAAACTTCCTGTTTTTGATTTTTTAGTTGTCGGGTCATAATTCTTGTACGCTTGAAATCGCGGAACTAAAAACAAAGGGGGTATTTTTCCATTTGTCTGCTAATCGACCCTGGCAAAACAAAACACTAATTGGAGAAGACGTCAGTCAAATACCACATAAATATGGAATTACATTGCGTATAGTTCGTCAGATTTCTTAAACTCGATAATTCGCACACTACGAATTTTGTTATTGTGACTAGGAAAAGGAGACCATTAACAGGCAATTCACAACTTAACAAACAAAGGTATGGGCCTATTTTCAATCACCCGTTCGTCCACCATGTGCACAGTTTCCTTGTAATACTTTCAACCACCTAGCTCAACTGTAACTTGTAATCGATACCCGCTTACATCAGAGAAAAAGTTCGCGTCTTAAAATTCTGATTCAAAAACTCGCGCGGTAACTGGGACTGTCCTCTTGTATGTGGCACAACTGTGAAGATTTTAACTACTGAAATTTAATTTTCTCCGTTTTTGATAAGCTGAACTCAGTCTGCCAGTTCATTTCGAGGTTACCGAAGCAATTTACGAGTTATAAACTAAACTTATTTTGGGAAATTTTTATCTGGCATTCTACCTGATTTCGGGCTAAATGTCAGAAATGTTGAATCCAATGCATTGAAATTTTGCATCAGAAACGTTAGGCAGATACTGAATACTTGAAAAGACCATTGAATGTAATTCAACGAGCTTTTAAGTTCTAATTTTTTTTGCTTGAGGTGAAACCGATATAAATTATAAATTGTGACAACAACTGAAAATAAGGGAGAAATATTATCGAAATTTACTCGCGCGAGAAATGTCTACTTTTGTTGTTTTCTTCAGACGTGGAAAGGCATGTATTCAATTTCACAAACAGCTGAACGAAAATTGGACAACAAACTCCAAAGGAAAATTAAAATAGATGATTCCGGATCTATAAAATTGTAATTCCAGGAGGCTGTTGAGTTCAAACAAAAAATGCCGGCCAAATTAGTATAGTTTACTTCCGTTGGAATGAAAAGCTTAAAAATGTTGGCGTCTGCATGTTACTTTGAACGAAATGAGCAGAAAGGACTGTACGTGAAGGGAAATAGTAAAAATAAAGGACTCAATTACATACGTACATTTAAAGAAAACTGCACAGTTATTTATATCATTATATATATGTAGGGTCGTGACCGGTAAAAGGCAAACCGAGGCATCTGCCTCGATAAAAATTTGGAATTGAAAGAAATATAGCAATATAAAAGAAGCGGTTTTTTTTTCTGATATTGCCTCGATAAGAAATTTAGTCTGGCCTCGACTTTGATGTAGAACAATTGCTAAACCAGTTTTCCTTTGAAATGCCGCGGGTATTTGTTAAAAACATAGCTGTTTTTGCACTCTAGGAAAAATGATCTTTTCCACCTCTCAGTTTAAATTTTTACTTTCTGTGAGTTAATTTGCCGGTTACGCCAAAATGTTTTAGTCTATCTTATGTACTTAATTCCCGAAAGCTTAAAGGTCTTAAGGGGTACGTACTGTAAATGGTAATTTCTCAGAATTAACCATTGAAGTTTTATCATATTCCGTAGTTCTGGAACGATCCCAGGATTCAAAGATTACATTTCCTTGACCAATGTTTATCAACGAGGGTCCGATGTTTTATAACTAAATCAAAAGAACCGAAAGCAAGACTCAATTGAAATGCAAATTGAGCTCTGGCACAAAAAAAGCTCAATTAGCGCCAATTTTATGACTTAAGTCTAAACCGAAATGAGAAGTTTCAGTAATAAAGAGGCGAAATAAATTAGACTTGGCAATTTACTTAAAGTGTTAAGGGAGTCAAAGGGGTCATCGATGAAATAGAACCTTACACATCAAATGAAATTTTATTAGATTTTTTTTCGTATTCTTTCCACCTGTCCGGTCCAACAATGTGTTATTATTGTTTTCACGCAGGAAACTATCTCAATAATTTATATAACTGCCAAGTAAATAGGTTGGTTTAATATTCTGAACAGAAGGGGGCTTACAAATTTCACTAATCAGACTGCAAAAAAAAAAAAAAAAAAAAAAAAAGAAGGAAAGATTTGACACCCGAGAGAAGGCGTTAAAAATTCGATGTCTACAATATTTTGAATTGTAATTGTTTGGCTATTGCTTCTTGGTCCGATTACATCCTTACAGTCCTTGTAAAACAGCAACAAAATGAAGTAAGCAAGGGCCTTTGAATATGGACTAAAGGTAATTTGAATAGTATTATCTCTTAAGCTCTTTGAAGCTAAAACACTGTGGTCGATCAAGCGATAATACATCGTTAAATCGTGTAAAGAGCCACGTATACCTTTTTGTCCAACAAGGCAAGGTTTAGCGGAGTTAACAAGACGAATATCGTATTAACTTAAATTATGCGGAATTTCAAAAGAAAGGCAGCGGAGGAAAACAGTATTGCTTAATTAATATACCTATTGTAACTGTTTATCCTTATGTAGTAATATTTCCAAAGTCCGATATATCAAAGTTTTTTACGTTCTTATTTCACCAGCAGTCGAGCAACCAAGTTCACGGCGATATGTCCAACAATTACTCTACCAGCATGCAGGAAACGACAAACTCCTCAGGTTTGGCCGCCAAGAAAAGCGCATACAGTCTACCTTACGCGAACGGACTCACGTTTTTCTACACATTAATCATCGTGACATGTTTAACCGCTTATGTGATTATCATCCTCACAGTTTATGTCAACCGCCATTTGCGAACAACTTGCAACTTCTTTATTGTGAGTCTCGGCATCGCAGATGTGATGATCGTCACCATGGTGATGCCAGTGAACATCGGCCTTCTACAAGGAACGTTTCGTTTTTCATCGAGCGCGGAGTGCTTGTTCCTGGCAACTATTAACCTGATCAGCATTTCGGCTGTTTCTTTAAATCTCTGCACAGTAAGCGTAGATAGATACTTCGCTATCGCTTACCCTTTTAAATACGAGGCGTTTGTCACGACCAAAACAACAGCAGTGATCATCGGAGTCGTCTGGCTTTACGCTTTGTTTGCCGCTGTTTTGCCGCCAATGGGCTGGCAGTCGCAGCCCACTACTGTCAATAGACATGTATGCGTTGGTGATCTGGACGAAAGCTACATTTTATTCCTGAGCATCGGGAGTTTCTTTCTTCCAGCGTTCATCATGGTTTCCACCAATGCTATCATCTACCGCATCGCCACGAACCAAGCAAAACGTGTTTTGCGCATCGTTCCAGTGGTGGGCGTTAGCGCAGAAAAACTCCGCAAAAACTTTCGCGCGGCTAAGCGAATTTCGCTGATCGTCGGCGCGTACCTCATTTGTTGGGTCCCTCAAATGGTGGTGCTGGTATTGGCGTTAAAGATAGGAAGCAAGAATATCCCCTTTCAAGTGTATCCGGTCACACTGTCCCTTCAGTACAGCTGCTCGGCTGTGAACCCCTGTATGTTCTGTTTCACTAACCGAGAACTTAGGAGCACGCTCAAGAAAATTCTTTGCACAACCTTGCGTAGGAGACGCAACGCATCATTTTCGAGTACAACTGGTGAGATGGCCCCGGAGAGAAGACGGTCAACTGTTTGTAGAATGAGCCAAACTACGGAGATTTCTCTTGGAGTTAAAGGAGAATCAAGGACAGCTGTACAAATTGGAAACGCAAATCTTGATGGACTGTGAACAGGTTCTCTAGTCGAGGATGGGGTCACCTCACTCTAAGCCAGTTCTCTTTGGGCCCTCCCAGCCGAGGTCAGACCCTTCCAACCGCAGCCTGTTCACAGGCTACACTCTTAATTTTACAACTAGTTTGATCTATGATTGCTGGAATGTAAGGTGGCAGATTTCACTTGCCGATTTATGTGCTCAGTGACATAGGTCCCCAGTTTATGATTGCCCTTATCTTTTCAGACCATCCCCTCTCTCAAAAAATTTTCAAAGAATAAGTAAGCCCGCAAAAAATGAATAGCCGAGACCTATTACAATGCAGTCTTTTAGCAAGAAAAGTCAGTATTGCTCGAAAACGAGCAGTTATAGCCATGTACGAAGACCAGGAGCACGGGAATACGCTGAAACGGCCCGGAGCACCCTTAAAATGAAAGTTCCTTCTGTCACTTTGCCGCCCTTTGCACCAGCCGACGTTATGCCGGGGGGGAAATGCGCGCACGTGAGCGAGTGAGTGTTTCTGTCACTAACCACGATCTAGTAACTGTAATTAATGCTAACCTGTAAAATATGATGGCTAGTCAGTGATGTACCTACTTCAGTCTACAAGTGACTTCAAGTATCTGCCATAATCTACCTAGTTGTAATATTCCACGAGCGCGAACGAGACGCGTAGCGTCGAGTAGGCTATAACCATCTCATAGCCAACAGTTAAGTGCCATTGGAATAATTGTTATATTAAGAACGCCCCCGGCCCAAAATATAGAAAACCGAAATAAAATAGAAATAAAACGCCTTAAAAAATTGTACGTATGCTTGCCATATTTGTAGCGCATGGCATGGTATAATGACGCAAATACCATGATGGATAAGCCAATGAAAACTCGTGAATTGTATTATTATCCAATGATACAGTTTTTAATTTAACATCATAAACGCGCGTTTGATATACATTAATGGACACAGTGATGTATAGTTTAACGACTTGATGAGTAGGAACTGTGTGACTCTCTCTAACAGCTTATTTTAGCCCTGTATATGAGGTAGAACTAGCGTGGAATTCGATTTCCGTCTATAATATATATCTATTTCAAAGGCTACCAGGATATGAATCACAAACAACGCTTTTAAGTTTAGACTGATTATTATCCAACGTTTCTGAACATGCTGTTACATACGTTTCGGAGAAATAAATTCGAAGGTGTATATATGGACGGCTTCAGTACAATAAGAAGAAACTACAGTCGAAACTCTCCACAACGTACAACGTACGGCCACCTTGAGGACAGAGAAAAGTGGGAGTTCACGGAGATTAAATCCTTGCTTGCTCATTATTTTTGAACTGGCCAGTAGTTTACGTAGAAACAAAACTAACTTGATTACTTATTCATTACAATAGAGTACTAGAAAATGGGTTATCCTGTGAGCTACCTCTTTCCCAGGGTCTCTCTGCTTCCAGCCCTCGTCCCGCGCTCCAGCGGGTGGGAAGAAGAGAGACCCTGGAAACGAGGTTGCCCTTTGAGTAGTACTTTGTACTTTGAAATTGCAAAACATTTCATCTCTGTAACTGTTATAGGCTCAATTTAAAACCATTACATCGTGTATCCACCGCTGATAATAATAATTATAATTGTAAAACGTTGTTGTATTCCTTGATTCTCTGTTTACACTATGACGAAGATATTAGCTTTAGAAAACCACTGGAATAAAAGGACTTAAGTACCTCAGTGTTTCTTTGCAAAGTTTTCCATTCATTTTTGATATTAAAGCTTTTCAAAATTTATTTGTTGGCTATGGCGCATGAAATACATACGGGCACGTGTTTTTCTAGGTTTCTTCTCTTCCAAGAAACTTGGTTTATTGCTGGTGGATTTGATAAGCATTGCAAAAACACCTTTTTTATACATATAAAAAAAAAACAGAAGAAACGTAGAGGTTTTAAAATATGTCAGTACAACGAAATTATCGAGAAAAAATGTTCATAGAGTTAAAGAACACACAGCTAAGAGTAACGATTAATGTTACAGAACAGCGACCACTTAACTCGGCAATTTCATGAGAAGTCATCACATCCCTTATTTTCATAACAGAAAATTGTTTTCAAACTATTCACCAAAATATTTTCTGTAGATATCATTAGAAACAAAGAAATTGCTAAATAAAATTGTGACAGGGAAAATCTTCGAAGGAAGTCGCTAAGTTTAGTAGTCGCTCAAAATTGTAACATTAAGGAAAAAATGGTACATCTGCTAAAGCTATTTTAGTTTTCTGTGAGTGACATAAGATAGTAATATTTCATCTAACTTCACATGCGTAATAAACAACAGCTTGTAAACAATAGATTTTCCGAAGATGAATCAGTCGGTAGAAGGGCAAGAGAGGGACAAAAGGTGAACACCTGCCATATGACACTAGCTGGTGATACCTTTCCTGCATGAAAGGAAAACTCGCCACGAAAATAAATTATTAGGTAAGGATACTATTGGAAAACAAGGGGATGTCATGGGAGGCGCGGTGGCACAGCAGGAACACGTAATTTTGCAAGCGCATCAGAGGTCTGGGTTCAAACGTTATCCGGGATCATGGTTCGCTGAGTAGACGTTTATTCTCACAAATTGATGCCTTTTTTCATCAAAGTATATTAATGAACACCGGGGTAGGTAGGTTCTTAAACTTCTGCTTTACTAATGTACAAAATCTTTACATATATCTACGTGGTTTTTACAAGCACAAACATGAGAACTACCGCAATACAATCCCTTATTTCACAGTTAAAACAGTTTCCATGCAGAGAGACTCCGTGGACAAAAGCATGGGTGTTTCTATAACAGCAATAACAGTGAATTGAAATATTAAGTGTTAAAACTTTATTACCTTTACGAGTGAAGTACAAACGTACTTTGGAAATAAGATAAAAAGATACAGACGAGAGGTAACATGAAAGTTACTAAAGTCGAAGTACCGGGGATCAAGTCAGCATCGCATTTATTTTACACTTCGTTTCCACTTCATGTACGTTACGTTTGGTAGTCATTATGTAACCCAACGCTTTGCACTTCCTTTTCCATATTGATTAGTTAAGCTATATGCCTCGTCCACACTACCCCGGAGAAATTTGAAAACGCAGCTTTATTTCTACCGTTAGGCCTACCGTGCACACTAATCCGTTACGAAAACGGAGCTTTTCGAAAACCGTCTTATCAAACGGGAGGAATTTAAAAATTCCGGCTTTGGGTTTTAGCGTCGACGGAAAACATTTTGAAAACGGAGCTTTTCGAAAACGATGACATAATCACGTGATTTCCTTGTCCGAGTTTTCCTCGAATCTTAAATCCAAAATGGCCGGCGATTTTTGCTTGTTCAAATTTCTTCGGCGTACTGTGGACGGAAACATTTGATGCGTTTTCAGAGTGAAAACGCCGTTTTCAATTTTCCCAGGCGTAGTGTGGAAGGGGCCTCGTAATAAGGGACAATTTTTATGGACAGTCGTTCTTAGTCATTCTCGTCCCAGAGCCAGCGCGTTTTCGCTCAGAAGTGGCCGAGCGCCACACACTATGCCTCACATTGGCTCAGGTCTGATTGTGCGCATGCGTTTAAGTTCAACGATACTTGGTGCTGACCAAAAACATCGTGGTCTCTGGAAAGTAAATTGGTACTTAGGTGCAAAATTCTCAGGTGCAAATGTGTTAAAAACATCTTACAATCTGTTTCAACAACAACAACAACAACAACAACAACAACAACAACTACAAAATGTCGGTATTATCTAATCATCAGATGATACAAGACAAAATTCATATCGGTTCGCCTCCATTGCAAGCAGTCCTATGTACTTTTCTAACAATCACTGAAAAAATACTGCTCTATAGCAGTTGATTTAAACTTGAATAAAGGAAGTTCTACTATTTCGAAAAAATGTAATTAAAAATTTATTGATAACTGAGTTTGATAAAAAAAGGATGGCTCATTGTCGCTTATATTACAAGCCATGAACGAACGGTCGACAATCAGGCATTTCTGTCTCCACATCGTTCTGTTTTACTACAACGTGAAGCTCATTAAAACTAACTGGCATCGAAGGAAAGATCTTATTTATTCTGTGCTGGTGTGGGAAGAACCAAGAGCTGAGCCAGTTTTTGCTGCAAGAGAAAAAAGAGGACAATTTCAATAAGTGGTTTGTAGGCGTTCCATTCAACCAACAATTCTGGAACTCTTGAAACGGCGGCAATTAGTGCGGAAATTTCCTGGGAAAAAAATCTGGAAAAAGTGAAAATTGTTGAATTTCCGATATTCGAACCATTCAACCAATATTTCTGAGGGGAAAATGACATGAAAGGGAAGTTCCCGGTAGCAAAAACAGTATTCGAAAATTAGTTTGGGTATACCTCGCAAGGTTGCCCTCTTTTCCTTAGATTCTGGAAAACGCTATTCACTTCGCCACAGGAAAATTATGTCCAGGAATTCAAACCGAAATTTTTGGTCAGATGAAAAGTGCCCAGTTTGCATTCACAAATTTGTTGCTTCCACAGTTCCCAATACCCGAGTGCAAACCTAATGTAGAGTTATCCTACAAGGGAACAACGAAGATGGGAGGGGGTGGGGGAGGGGGTACTATACAGAAGAAGAACAAAAGCTTACAAGGAAATAAGAATAACTGAGTAACTATGGCGAGTATGCAGATAAATAGCAATTGCAATATGGAAAGAAAGGAAACAACAACAACAAAAACATTTACTTATAAATTACCTGTAGTAGTTCTACATTCTTCCTTGCTGCTTCGTTCAGAACAGTTGGTTGTGAAGGACTCAGGTGTGATGTCGTGTTAAGATGGAAAGTCTGCAAAGCACAGATATTTAGTCTGTCTGACGAAGGACACTTCACAGTTAGAGACAGCACTGTAAATTACAATGCTTTGAAAACCCTATGCGAAGGACATTAAATCAAAAGAGACAGAGCGAGATTTAGATTCAAACTCACGACCCGTTTGAAAAAATTCTGTCTTTGCTCTTCAAATGAGAAACGCAATAAAACTCTTACCCTTCCGTTGCCGAGGGGAATAAAAACTTGGGCATTTGAATCTGGCCCATGGTTCACAATCGGCGACCCACTCAAAGACATAATTCTGAAACAGAATATAGAAGAGAAAACATATTTATTCTTAGGTAGGAATGCTCCAGTGTAGTCTGTTTTCTTCAGGAGTTCTCCGTAAGGAAACAAAGCCTAAGTGGACATCAACGCCAACGAGAGGATACAATATGAAAAACAGTAAAGGAAAAACACCGAGAAGAAAAAACATTACACTGAATACCACAACATTAACACTATTTTCTTTAGTCTGTTATGTTCCAGGCATTTTGTGTTGTCGCATCAATGTACTCTAAAAGAAGGAATTTCGGTACTGATGAAAGGAGAGAAGGAGATGATGTTACATTGATTGGTCACGTGCTTACGATGTTTTTTTCCCGCCATCAGGCCAACTCGGCTTTTTATTGGCTACCGAGTTATAACAACAACGCCCACAACAACACAACAAAAACAAAAACAACAACAACAACAACAACAACAATAACAGCATTGTCTTTAAATTTGCATCTTCATCTTGAATTTTCACTTACCTTTCTCCAGCTTTGGGTTCTCGCAATAGAGCAGGAGTCAGCGGTAACCTTGTCAGGGAAAAAGATACGAACTTTTAAAATAACTCCTTTGTTCTAGTCTCTTTTTTTTCGGAATTTGCACCAAATTTTTACTGACAGAAAATTCATGTGAAAACGTTTTAGGAGTTTTAACTGGCAAATTTTGGGAATTTATTTGGCATAGTCAAACATGTCAGAACAATGGTAGGACAAGTGATTCTGAGGGGAACCAATGTATCAATCAGCACTTAGCACTCGTGACGTTTTCACTTAAGTCCTGACAGAAATTCGCATTTGCTTGGTTTTGCATCACTACACTATGCGATTCCCTGAAAAAACTCGTGCCACTTTGTCACTGAATCAGAGGTAAAAAAAAACCAATCTTGACTGGTTTGTACATGTTTTCACATTTGAATTTTGATTGGTTCACGGATTGTCTGTGTCCTTTGTAATTGGCCAGAGTGATTACTTTGGTTTTGCGTTAACAACACTCAACTGAGGACTGCTCTATGGCAACTCAACTTACTCATGAAACAACAAGTAAGTATTATGGTGTATTGCAAACTGTACAGAAAAATTTCTTCTTTTGACAGCATCTTTATAAGAGAGGCTAATCAAAGGTTCAGCTTTTGGGAATTTTTTTTGTTGTTGTACTAACCGTGGATCAAACTTTGGTGTCACCATTGGTGTGTTGCTATAGGTTACCGCCCTTGAAGCTGGAGTCACAAACTGAGCTTTGGATTGCGCTCGTTTACTGCAAACAGCGTAAAAAAGATGACAAACATGAGCAACAATAATGAGGAAACACTGCCAAGTAATTCCTGGATGATGATTTTTGCTCTCCTGAGGGGGGAAGGGTTGGATGGGGGTGGGGGGGGGGGGNCTGTGGCTAAATTTCTGGAGCAGAACCCCAGGGTGGAGAAGGTGGTGTATCCAGGTACAGTGTCTGCCAAGGATTGGGGGAGGAGGAGGAGGAGGAAGGGGGATAGGTGTGGGGGACAGCTGACTTTCAGGCCAGTTATTGTCTAACAGTTTTTACCTGGTCCGTTTACCAGTGGAGGGTGGTGCCATAATAATTGAGCCAGTGTCTTTTGTTTTGCGACTTTTGGCAGATCTTGTGCTGTTATCAGTCATGCTGGGAGAAGCATCTTTTCTCTGGAAAGAAACATGGTACACTATTAATTTAAATGCATGCACACTTGAATCTTCTTACAAGACTTACAAGTACATCAGCATCATGATAATCCAGCATTATAGGCCTGCAATGGGTGCAGAGGGCCTGACAATGGGGATCATGTGTACTAAAGCTAAAAGGCATCCGCGGTCGAGTGTTGATAGATAACTCCAATAGATACCCTCGACCGACACTCGATCAACAACCCATTGACACCTCAGCTGACACTCAATTGACACTCCAATGACATCTCGGTTGACAGTTAGTACAATTTTCAATCAATGCATACAAGTCAGTCGACACTCGGCCAATTATTGACCGACTGTTGATCAAGTGTTGACTGAGTATCGATCGCAATGTTGATCAAGGGTATCAATCGAGGGTGTTGATTGACATCCAACCATGGATGCCTTTAGTGAGTTTAGTACACATGATCTGATGATGATCTGTTTTTTTTCTGTCTTACTGTCTTGTGCTTCTCTTTTTTAAGTGGCAAAGTTAGGGTGAACAGCACTGTAAGTAGATGTACCTTTCTTGGACGTAAAGATCTGGGAGCTGTAGTTGGCTCCAAAAACTCAGGTTCCTGTAAATTAAAAAAAATATTGTCAATTAGCAGACAAAGATAATCAGGAATAAAGATGGTCAAAAACAAAATTCTTAATGATTAACAAATAAACAATATATTATAATTTGTGCTTACTAACTATATTTAATTAATTAATTATTTAATAAATTCCCAGAATTATTACTTCTTGGAAATACTTTTTATCATGACCTTATAAACATACTTACAATCAATTTTACAGTTGCAGCCTGATCATCAGTTTTTACTTTAAATCCTGAATATGTTTCAGATATGAAAAAAAAAAAAAAAACAGCAACAAAAGTTAGTATTTCACCAGAGCATTTCAGTTGTGAAAAATTTAAAGTTTACCCATTATGCAGTGGTTGCATTAAGCGCTAGATGTGTACCGGGCAGATTTACCTGGCCACTTCATCCATATTTTGTATAGCACCATTCCTGTCTTTTTTGTAAGACTGTCTAACAGTCTTATAAAAAGGTGCCAATAGGCTTATGTCAAGTCAAAGAAACAATGATTTTGCTCGTTATAGTAAGCGTTACTTCCCTAATGTTATTTGGATTTTCTGTCTGGATGTCATATCCTGATGCCCTGCCTGTTGAATATCTCATTGAAACCCCTGGTTGTGAAGCACTTAAAAAATAACTGAAGATGCCCTGGATCATGTGTACTAAAGGCATCTGCAGTTGAGTGTCGATCGATACTCTCGATCAATACCCTAAGTTGGCATCTCGATCAATACTTGATGGACATTTTGATTGATACTCGGTCGACACTCGATCAACACTTGATCAACAGTCAGTTGATAGTTGGCTGAGTGTCGACCGACTCATATGGAACTATCCAAAATTAGTTGACTCTCAACATTGACTGAGATGTCGATGGAGTGTCAACCAAGGTGTCGATGGAGTGTCGATGGAGTATTCATCGAGGGTCGATCAAGGGTATTGATCGGCATACGAACGCAGATGCTGTACACATGATCCAATGCTCCTACATTATTGATAAAAAAGTACAAACGATGATCTTGATAACTACCTGCAGGAGTTTTTAATGATAAGTTCCCTCGATCAGTTAATGGACCTCTGTTAAAGATACACAATGAATAATAATTTAGTTTAATTGTTTCATCAAGTACTTAAATAAGTTAATGAATTAGAAAAAATAATTGTTTTTGTAGATTTTAGACAAAATTTGCACACATTCCAGTATCATGAATTGAAATAGTGAGAAATAATAAACAAGGAAGAAGAAAATTAACACAATGATTCATTACCTGGCAGCTGTATCTGATGAAGGTTGTAAAATTGATCTTGTCATTTCACTAACAAGTTTTGATGCCTAGGAATCAAAGTATATTATCAAATGCAAATTAGAGCAGCACAGTTTTTTCAAAATTTTGTTATTTCATGCAAGACAACTTGATGTACAAAATGTCGCTTTAAATGTGCCACAAATTAGGTAACACATGCAAAATTTATCGCAGATTTTCTACAATTCTATTAAAACTTGTGTTTTTCTATCAGACAAGTGGTATTTCCTTTTAATAATTAAAATTTGATAATTATTAGCAAATTAAAAAAGTTCTATCACACACCTCAGTCAATGTAGTATCATTCACTTCACCCCCCTGAGCTAAAATAGAACAAGATAGCGGTTTAGTTATAACAAATGGCTTGATAAGTCTAAGCATGGGTGAGTAGAGAATTGTTGAATTCAAACCAAAGTATCATAAAGTCTATAATACAGTGGAGTTGTGAATTTTCTAACCCTCAATTTTTCTCATCCTGGGAGACCCAAGGGCAGATAGCTGGGTCCAGAGGACGTCCAACAGGCGAGGTCTAGCAGAGCAAACGAATGTAATCTCCCAACTATGTGAAGCAACTTTTTGCTCCCTTGGTAACAAAAAGCTAGTGAAAATCTACCCTTACGTTTTCGGACCTATTGATTTTTCAAACCAATTTCTGTTTCCCAAGGTAGTTAAAAAGATCAGAATTCCTCCGTAATTTGCTATTCAACATTTCCTTTATGTTATAAATTAATGTACTTTCTTCAAGTTTGAGATTTACACAGTGTATGTATTTACAACTGTCTGTTGAGAGTGTCACAACCAAATGGAACAACAATAACAACCTACAACAACAGGAAAAGCATTGTCTAACTCTTGTGTTTGTGTTTGAGATTGGAGAGTGCAAAGAGAACATTACATGATTTTTTCTTGTCAGTTACAGTGTACATACCTAAATAGTCATTCAGTTTCATCTTTCTTATATGCTATTGAAATGAGAAAGAATGAGATTTTATTAATTCTAGCAAATTTACAATTGGTCAGACACAATACATTTATGTAATCATGTGACTGTATATTAAATAACACATGAAACCATAATGTGTAGTTCCAGAAAATATCCATACCTCCCAAGGAAGGGAACTTTTCTAAGTCCCCCCCTCCCCACCCCTCTGGAAATTCCGATTGAGCTTCATACATTTCTTTAAATGTTTTGGTCTACAGAATGCCCCACCCCCCAGGAAATTCAAATCCCTTCTGTGGGGGGAGTACGGATATTTGCTGGAACTGAGCAATAATGATGCACGTAATCATAATTAAATTTAATGATGTATACGGTACAGACTGGTTAATTTCATGGACATGTAAACAACTAGCATGCCTGTAAGCTCTGCTGCCACTGACATCAAATACTATAGCACTGAAACTCGGTTATTGCAAACTTGGTAACATCATTGATAGAGTTTGCAAGAAAAATGCTCAGCTGATTACTGTGTCTACAATGCATCTGTGCCAACTCTCCTGGATTATCCAGGAGACTGAATCTCCCAGTCTCCCATTTGAAGAAAATCGCTTATTTTTGTCGATTTTGGCATTTTTTGGGAAAATTTGGGAATATTTGACGCTGTGTGAGGGTGAATCAGTGGAGCTCTACCTTTGATGTTTTCTTCAGCTTCAGCGTCAAGAAGGTAAAATAGACGATCTCCCGGATATTTTTTATTTTTTTAGTTTGGCATCTCTTGACACTACATCCAACAGTTTAGCAAATTTTTCCACCCTCAATTTATTGCTGTCCCAAAAACAGTCACATTCTTTTGATACACCTGGAGCTAATACTTGCTGTGTGTCGTTGTTCAAACATACTGCTGCTACAGCTAAAGAAAAGACTTTCTTACCATAGGAAGTTTAAGAATTTCTAATGAAAAGGCTCCTTTCACTTTGCAGATCATATCATAACCTCTTGCTTTCATCTTTTCTATTCGTTCTTCAACTGAATAAAACAAAATTAAGTAATCAGCACTCATGTATGTGGATGAGAGCGTTTTGCTTTTTTTTTTTTGCAATAAAAGAAAAGTATCATATCTCTACTTCAAGTGAGGTGGGGTGGGGTGGGTGAACAGTATATTCTCAACTAAAAACTACAATTGTAATATCAATATTAATTAGTTTTATGGATTCTCACTAGGAAAAAAAATCAGTTTATGATGCCAAGTTTTACCAGTCAAACTGTTTTATGGCTTGTGAAGTAGCCTGTGTCACTCTGGCGCCCTCCCCGAAAGTAAAGAGACACAGGTTACTTGTATTAAAAAGGTGAACGAACATATCAATAAATTCTTGATTAAAATTAACAGAAAATGCTGAGCAAAATGCATCAACATATTGCTACATATCGAAATTTAATGTATGTAGGACTAAGTGCATGAACATTTTGGTAGTACCTAGAGTTACATTTTTCACTTTTTTTATAAGGAGTGTATAAGCTAAGGCTTTAATTTCAGGGCTTGCACGATCTTCATGTTTTTCAAAACACTAGCTATCCCTGCTTATTCTTTTCGCGTCCCATCGGCTACAGTGTATTCACACACGAGACAAATAGTCCGTCAAACGAATGTCCAGCCTATAAAACCACGATAATGTGGGACACGTTAAGTTATGATCTAAGCAATACCTTGCATGTTTAAATCTTTCAGATAAACGTCCAACTTCGCTTTACGTTCATCAATGCTCATTGAAGTATCAAGATCGCCTTCGGGAAGCATCGGTCGCTTGCGACTTGTTTGGTTTTTCCTCGTATTTTTCCTCCGAGGCATCTTGCTTCTTTCGCAGCCAAAAAAAGAACAACAGAAGTCCAAATAATAAACAACTAAGGATTACAAATTTTTATAAAGAAGCCCGCCAATAATCGCTTGATTGTTGAATTTTGAAAAGTTGCGCTGGAAATCTCTTTTACGAGCCCGCGATACAGGGGCAATTTGCGAGGTTGCAAAGCTGTATCCTTCTCTTGGCGAAGCGGCCATTTTACTATAGTGTAAAGCTAGTTTATTTTTCTTATTTGCTCTCTAAAAATGACTCTATTTCACTTTGGAAACTGCGTAGCCTTAGCGTACTTTCCTTATTTTATTGTCTACAAATGCTCTGGGCTGTAAGTGTGAAGGTTGCGTTAATTTCTCAGCTGATTCAATTCAGTCAAGTCACATGCCCTCGCGTGTCAAACAGCAAATTTATTTGTTTTCTTTCTTTTTATTTCAGGTCTGAGTACAGTGCCTTTTGGAGATGTGTGAAAGCTGGGGCTGCGTATTTAGTGACTCAACTTTGTAAGGTAAAAGTCTCATGAAGAACTTTGTTCAAATTGCTTTCTTGTCACAAGACACTCGCAATCGATCACAGCTGTTTTCGGCAAATGGATATTTTATACATTACACGGTATTCAGGAACTTTTGAATATCTACAACACTCGATCAATCAATTTTTTTCAGTTGATAATGAGTGTTTACTTGTTCTTGGATCATTATTATTATTATTATTATTATTGTTATTATTTATTTATTTATTTATTTATTTACTTATTTTAGGTACTTAAGCTTTATATAAGCTTATCTTTTCATACATGCATGCACAGGCCATGCATGTACAAACATGATGTCACAGATATTTGTCTTTATACATACTGTAATTCATGATTCAGACTTGAAGTAAAACTACCCAAAACTGGACCTGTGGGCATTTTAGATAACTTTTGCATGATTTTTAAATGATTGTGACAAAGTTGTGATGTTGAAATTCAATTGTGATGAACCGTATTGACAAGTTTCTTTTAGACTGAAATGGAACAAATTATCTTCCACTCCGAAAATCCATAGATACATCAGCTTTACTACAGAAGTAAGTTTGTTTCTGAGGAAATGAAATCACTGAAAATTATAGCTTCTTTATGTTGGTGATGGGAGAGAAAGTGCTGAATTATATAGACCTTGAGGAATTTCACAAAGCCTTGTATCATGTTCAAGATCTTTTGATATATGCACAATGTATGCATAGATAAGAAAGAATTGTACAGTTTTAGTGAAAGCTTGTTGGAATAACTGTTTTATATATTTATGATTTATTTAATTATTTTTTCAGATGTTGGTGTTAGCAACATTTTTTCCCACTTCAGATGTTTCTCCAGGCTATATGGACTTTATAGGGGTAGGTTCTGGCATTTCAAAATAATCTTTACTTTAAAAAAAAAAAATCATTGGATTCCACACTGATGGTAGTCAAACTCTGCCAAAGACCTTTGTATGTAGTGCAGATTACTTTCTGACTAATGCATTTCCACCTGTTTTGACACACAGAGGGTGATGGTCAGAAATTATGAAAAGGAACTGATATTGAGTACATGTATGTTAAAGTAAATAGGTACAAGTAGCATTGCTCTGATGAAGGACTGTTGTTCAAAAAGTCAGATTTTCAAACTTACTATGATGATTAAGTTACAAAATTAAGAGTGGTTTTCAATTGAGTGTCATAAATTCAAAACCGAATGAATTTCTTACCAATTAGACTACTTAGCCAGTCTCAAACCGTAGTAAAACCAAAACCGACACTCAATTAGCGTAGTGTTCACTTCCCTTCTGATGAGGCACAACAATTTCTTTAGAAAATATCTAGTTTATAGTAATGACTTTGCAGTTAAATATTTAGCTTTACTAGTAAGACAAGGTCTATAACTACTTTCATGTGTCTTTGTCTTTTAGGAGTTTCTCAGATCCACAGTAGACTTAGCTGATCTTGTTGGCCTTCATTTAGTCATGACTAAAATTGCTGGCAAGGGTGAACTGAAGGTTTTAGTTGCTGGAGTTGGTAAGAAATCACATACTATCCATTCTCTTTAACTCTGTTGCAACTAGCAAACAAACAAGAAAGAATTTTGTCAAACTCTTCATAGATAAATCAATTAAAACTTGTTTTTTTTTCTCCTATTTTAGGGTGGGCTACAGCAGAGCTTATCATGACCCGTCTTGTTCCTCTGTGGGTTGGAGCTAGAGGTGTTGAGTTTGACTGGAAATACATACAGATGAGTTTTGATGCTAATGTTAGCCTTGTAAGTGACAGTCATTTGTAACAGGGGCAAATCTTCTGTGAAACTTTGGGTGGATATTTTTTTCTGTCTTTTTCGTAAGGATAAATCTGTGACTAAACATTGGACCTTTTTGTCAATGTTATGCCATATTGACAATTTTTGTATTTTTCATAAACATAAAACCACCTCCATAGATAAATTAATTTTTGCTATGCTGAATTTAAGGTAAATATGCAACGTTTTTGTAAGAATCTTTTGCAAATTCACGAAAATATGGGACCCCAACCTTTGCAAACTTTTACAAAGAAATGTATGCCAGGGGCAATGCTCAACTTAGGTTACTTTCCAGATCAGTTTTGCACTGTGAAGTGCTGATTTTGAAGTGGGAGGAAAACTGAAAAACCCAGAGAAGATTCCTTAGAGCAAGACATGAAACAAATATTCAATCCACATATAGGCTAGAAATGAAACTGTGCTACATTGATGGAAGGCTCTAAAAGCCTTTATCAACTTTTTCTGTCATCTTACATGTACATGTACTTTACATCTGAATATGGCTGAGCACTGACATTGTGTTTTCTGTATGTTTCAGGTTCAGCATATCTCTACAGCAGCCTTAGTTTGGCTGTGGAGCAGGACTGACCTGCAGAAATCCTTCTTACCAATAGTCATGGTCTTCATGGCTGTGACTTGCTACCGACCCCTCCTTATCGAGTAAGTACTAAAAAAAACTGTTTGGAACAGCAGATATTGTGTAACTTCTTGACCGCTCTACATGTATGAGAAGCTTTGTATAATATTTACTGGTTGATTTGTGTTGAAAAGGAAAAAATGTTGAAATCCAGTTGCCCAGTGGGCCTTTACATTTCAGTTTTTAGTTGCCCCCACTAAAATATTACTTGCCCAATAGGTGTACAAAGTTAATTCCTTATCAACTAACAATACTGCTGAGGCTCGTTTCACTTGCCCCCCAGACCACCAAACTTGCCCAAGAGCAAAATTTACTTGCCCCAAGCAATTGGACCTGGGTTTTTTCTTGCTCTGATTCTGTTATTAATGTACATGAAATTCAATGTACAATGATCACAAAAATGATTACCATGATGGTTTATTTTCAATTTACTTATTTCACATGTATGCAGTTCATGTAAATTGTAATCATTTTATGGACTATACAGCCAAACTATGTTACTCCCAACTAGTATCTTTCATTTTGAATTAAGAAATTTAACCATTGTTTAAGCTGAAGGGGCTTTGAACTACAATATTGTACATGTATTATGTGTGGTGTAAGTTCTTGTGGGGTGGAGTTGGGGGTGGGGTAAATGTGCTTGTTGGTAGTCTTACAGCTTCAAATACTCAGCTGCTGTTTTTGTTCCGTTTTGCAGAGTTTTGAGCCATGTCTTGGGTATTCAGTCTTGGAGCTTGCTGCTGTTAAAAACCACCATTACTTCCTGCATTGGACTAGTTGCTCTTCAGCTGTATCTGACATTAACCACTGGCAAACAGGCCAGGACTTAAGGAAGAGACCTTGCGCTTGTTATTTATGCAACTTTGAATTGTCAGAAAAGCAGTTTAGGAACAATATTGTAACATCAATCTATGAAGCCTATGGTTATCATACTGAAAAGGCTGGCTTGAATTTTCAACAGTTGTTCGGAAGTGAAAGCTTCTTGTTTATGGCCAAACTCCTTGAAAAGCAATTGCACTTTTCGATACTGTAAGGTGTAGGTCTTGAAATGTCGTTGAAATTTAAATTAAAGTCCTTGAATAAAATCAATATCTGTGAATTGCATACATAATCCTCATAAGATATTGGCAGTGAAAGGTCAGTTCATTCTACATGTACAGTGCTTTCAATACGATTTGCAGTAGGGGACTACTCTGATACAGTACCCATCAGAGAGCAATACTAAAGGTGCACAACAACTTCCTCTAGGGTGCCAATTTTATATGTAACTGTTCATATTATAACTGGCAATTCACAATAGAATATCCATTGTACCTCTAGCTGGTACCTATTTATACACCTGGGTAGAGAGAGGCACTGTGAGAGTGAAGTTTTTTTGCCCAAGAACTCAATGTTATGACCCTGGCCAAGGCTTAATCCAAAGTGTGCCACCATGTCCTCTAAATATGTAGCTGCAATGTCATCCCATACATGTAGGCACATGACTCCTCTCGCCCGAGACTCAGTCATGGAGAAAATGTGTTTGATTCATTGCCCCACTTCCAAGTTTTTGGTGTTCCCAAGTCAAATATGCTTCATATAGTATTACATGTTCAAGTCCAGAGTTCCAGATAATTTTTCAACGCAGTTTGTCGATGAGGAATTCCAACAGATAAATTCCCACTGTTCTCACCAAATCAATATAAATTTTCGATTAATTTGCTGGGTCATGCAACTGACCTCATCAGGTCTTTGACCTGAGACCTTTCACTTCTCTGGAACAGAGCAAGTCACCCTCGTAATCACCTCTTTTATCCATATGGTCCCTTGATGTTCGTGTATATACAGACAAACACTTGTCTGACCCTAAGAGAAAAGTCCAGCTGCCTTCATCTGGTGCTAAAGTTTAAACGAAAATCAGCAAACAACAATCATGAAACTGCTACATGTACATTTATGAACAATGAACACTGAACATTAGCATTCCCAATTTGTGATTTGTGTATCTTTCTCTAACAAGGAAGAATGAAAAATCATTTGGCAACTAAGAGGATGGTTTAATTTTAACTAAGTTTGGCTGCCCATAAGTGCCATGGAATAAGTACATTTAGCAACAAATTATGGAAGCAGGCTGACGTTGTCGTTGACAATGTTGCATGTAATAATTTTTCTAGGACTGACACAGACACAGAAATTCAGTTAACTCTCCATGCCATGTTTGCCTATGACTGTCAGATCTTTCGCTTTCTAAAGAGCTGCAGTTGCTGAATTCATATTAGAGGTGGAAAACTGTCTTGGACTGAAAACTTGTCTTCAAATGGAAAACTTGTGTGGCATGAATCCAGTAAAGGATGGGTTTCCCTTTTTTCAACGAGAAAACAGGACGGAAAACTCATCTTAGACAGAAGACTCACTTAAATTCATACTTGGCATGAAAATCATGACAAGTTTCAGTCGTGATTTTAAGGTGGGTTACCCTCATTAAATTCATATTAGACTGTATCCTGTCAAAAGGAATTCCATCCGTGACTAGTTTCTCTAGTTTAAAATATCAATACGGCTAGTGATGCACACACTTGGGAATATTTAACAGGAAAAGTAAAGTACTTTAATAAGACCCAGCCTGTGGTTTGCACTAACATTAACTTTCACATTTTCACAATTCACAAGTTTGCAGATGTCAAACTACATGTATGTTAACATAAAAATACACCCACCAATTTCCATGGCTATGAATTGTATACCATATAGGGGTTGTTGTAAGAACTTCACTGATGCAACTCCCACATGTAATTATAACCTGAATAGAGCAGTTTTCATTTGAGTGTCAAAAGGTAATTGGTTTTGTATCACCATGTTACACGATTGGCTTAAGAAATGTATGCCATTTTTTCATCCAATCGTGCATATTTCTGGTGCTTTGTGTCACCTACATGTAATTATTTTGAGTTTTGATTGGTTCACTGGATTTTCTGTGTCCTTTGTGATTTGGCTAGAGTGATTACTTTGGTTCTGGTTTCAAAACACTCAATTGAAAACCACTCTAATACATATATTTCATAATACATCAACAATACATCAGCATTGTTTGAAATATAGATTTATTCCAAGAAATGAGAGTGATATAAAAAAAGCCCCATTTTCTTACAACTAGTAACACACTGCAAGTCACAATCCAATTTTTTTCCTGTAATGTTTTGAGCCCAACAAATTCGTCTAATCCGTCATAAGTCAAATGTAAATCCAAATATAGTCCTTTTGATCAAAGGCTTGCTCCTGTCGTTAAGAAGATCACGTGGTCCTTCTTCATTTGGTGACAAAGTCAAACTTGGGAAATTCCTCCAGATTTCCTTCTCCAAACCGCTTTTGTATCTGCTGCTTTTCCACCTCGACTCTAGCCTTCTTCTCGGGCGTAAAATCGACTAATTCTCCACCTGAGGCTTGGCTTTTCTTCTTGTACTCTTGCAATTTCTCCACGAATAATTTCTGTATGGGGTCAGAGGTCTTGTCTTTCGCTAAAACAGCTGCCATACCGATGCTTCTTCTACAAGTGGCCATGAATGAACCGGTTGTCGGCGAAACAAGACGTGAAAAACGAAAAACTGCCGCCATATTCATGCACCAAAACCAGCTCTGATATTCAAAATGGCGGACAATCGCTGTGTATTGCGTGGTCTCGTTTTGAAGAGAAGGCAATATCAGTTTAGTCTCCAGTCTTTTTACACGTGATAGAAATCTCGGTCAACATGGCGGACTCAGCGAAAGTTGTGAAAGTCGGCTCGCGTAAAAGTCAGGTATGTGATTTGTCACGAAATTAACTTTTTTTTAATTGAATCGATTGTTGAGATTAAAAAAAAAAAAAACGTTTGTAAATGCCCCCGAACACCACGAAAGACTCTTCTGTCATCCATCTTAAAGCAAAGATTTTCTAATCCGACTGTTCTTGGTCTCGAGATCTTTCCAAATTCGATCCTCTAATTTGTTTTTGACTATTGGGAAGTTAATTACAAGTATAATTTAAGATCATTTATTCATCATGACAGTATATTAAGCTGTCAAACATTATTTTTGTTGTTGTTGATGTTGCAATGTCGATCGCGTCGTGTAGTGATCAAATAGTCAAACATTTTAACCCGGACATAGGGGCATTCATTTTTTTATCCGCACCCCCACTATGGAAGGCAGATTCTGGCAGCCTAGTTTTTTTTGTTGTCAGCACCTTTAAAGTTTGCATCGGAGGAGTTGTTGGCTCCTTTGAAAAAATCTCCCAACAGCCGAAGCTTCAGTGCCAGAGATTGTCCCCCATAGGGGTGGGGGGTGGGGGGGCGGGGGGTGTTGCAGAAAAAAATGGAATGTATCTTTCGTGTACCATGGGCATTTGACTAGACTGACTAGTTCAAGGCCCCAGGGGCTCTAGAAGGTGCGAATTTGACCAGACGATGATTCGGACACTTGAGTTAGAATGTCATTAACAATTCATTTTATATTTCAAGATTCTTGGTGTAGTTTGATAGCCAGCTCTATAAGCTTTAATTTGATATAGGGGTTTAGGTATCTGCAGTTAAAACTGGATGCGCTACATCGCTTGGATGTGAGGCACCTCTAAAGATATACAGTAGCCTTAAGGTTGATTTCCAGTGAGTCTCCATTTTGTGACTCAATAGAAAAATTAGGGATCTGGGCTACTAAATTTGAAAGTAAACAGGGTTGTTGTTTTTGGGACGTTTTCAGTATATTATACTACACAGGCCACTGTATCAACTAATAGCTGAATGATACACTCTATGTCACTTTGAGGGGGTTTTTCGATTAGTTTGTAAGCCCTGGTGTCATTGGCTGGAGTGTTTCCCTATTAAATAACTACTATACTGGTAATCATTATTTGAAATAAATTTGAAAAATGAATAACATTGTTAATTAATGTAGACATTTTGTTTCATGACTTAATTAAATTGGCCTTAATTTGTTTCATTTTAAACAGCTTGCACTCATTCAAACTAATGTAATTATAGAAGAACTAAAGAGGGTTTGTTCTGATGCATCATTTGAAATTGGTAAGTACTAAATTGTTAGCTGTAATCCACCCTGTTACAATATCACTTTTTAATTATTTGAGTTTTTAATCAAATATGGAAATTCTCATCACAAGTGCAAACTAAAATAACATGACTGTACATACTGTACATGACTGTCCTGGCCTCGTCCCATTTCTCTTTGAAAATGATTTATTAATAAAATGAATTACTACAGGAATGGTTTTTATATAACTATATCATAAGTCTCTAGAGGTATTTCAGGGATTGTTTCTTTAGTGAGCATATAATATTATAAGTACAGTACTTAGTAAGTGTCTGCATAGTCTGTTCAACACAAAGTTTGAGCTCACACCTGTGTCTTACCTGTGAACTGAATAATGAATCATACCATGTGAAATTACTTGTCATGAGCTATTAATATGCACCTTTTTAGATGTAGGTCTATTAAAGTTAAGATCCTGTTTGCTTCCAAAGATTTTATAGACCACAAGCTGAGTTATACAACTAAAGGCAACATGTCTGACCTAGATGTCGTTTCTTTTTAGTGTCAATGTCTACTGTAGGGGATAATATTTTGGATAAAGCATTACCTAAAGTGAGTAATAAAATGTTGAATACCTTACACCTATTGTAATGTATTAATAATAATTGTGTCATTGACACACTCAGGTTATTAGTGATTAAAGTCTGACCTGATTGTTNTTTTGATGCTAATGTTAGCCTTGTAAGTGACAGTCATTTGTAACAGGGGCAAATCTTCTGTGAAACTTTGGGTGGATATTTTTTTCTGTCTTTTTTGTAAGGATAAATCTGTGACTAAACATTGGACCTTTTTGTCAATGTTATGCCATATTGACAACTTTTGTATTTTTCATAAACAAAAAACCACCTCCATAGATAAATTAATTTTTGCTATGCTGAATTTAAGGTAAATATGCAACGTTTTTGTAAGAATCTTTTGCAAATTCATGAAAATATGGGACCCCAACCTTTGCAAACTTTTACAAAGAAATGTATGCCAGGGGCAATGCTCAACTTAGGTTACTTTCCAGATCAGTTTTGCACTGTGAAGTGCTGATTTTGAAGTGGGAGGAAAACTGAAAAACCCAGAGAAGATTCCTTAGAGCAAGACATGAAACAAATATTCAATCCACATATAGGCTAGAAATGAAACTGTGCTACATTGATGGAAGGCTCTAAAAGCCTTTATCAACTTTTTCTGTCATCTTACATGTACATGTACTTTACATCTGAATATGGCTGAGCACTGACATTGTGTTTTCTGTATGTTTCAGGTTCAGCATATCTCTACAGCAGCCTTAGTTTGGCTGTGGAGCAGGACTGACCTGCAGAAATCCTTCTTACCAATAGTCATGGTCTTCATGGCTGTGACTTGCTACCGACCCCTCCTTATCGAGTAAGTACTAAAAAAAACTGTTTGGAACAGCAGATATTGTGTAACTTCTTGACCGCTCTACATGTATGAGAAGCTTTGTATAATATTTACTGGTTGATTTGTGTTGAAAAGGAAAAAATGTTGAAATCCAGTTGCCCAGTGGGCCTTTACATTTCAGTTTTTAGTTGCCCCCACTAAAATATTACTTGCCCAATAGGTGTACAAAGTTAATTCCTTATCAACTAACAATACTGCTGAGGCTCGTTTCACTTGCCCCCCAGACCACCAAACTTGCCCAAGAGCAAAATTTACTTGCCCCAAGCAATTGGACCTGGGTTTTTTCTTGCTCTGATTCTGTTATTAATGTACATGAAATTCAATGTACAATGATCACAAAAATGATTACCATGATGGTTTATTTTCAATTTACTTATTTCACATGTATGCAGTTCATGTAAATTGTAATCATTTTATGGACTATACAGCCAAACTATGTTACTCCCAACTAGTATCTTTCATTTTGAATTAAGAAATTTAACCATTGTTTAAGCTGAAGGGGCTTTGAACTACAATATTGTACATGTATTATGTGTGGTGTAAGTTCTTGTGGGGTGGAGTTGGGGGTGGGGTAAATGTGCTTGTTGGTAGTCTTACAGCTTCAAATACTCAGCTGCTGTTTTTGTTCCGTTTTGCAGAGTTTTGAGCCATGTCTTGGGTATTCAGTCTTGGAGCTTGCTGCTGTTAAAAACCACCATTACTTCCTGCATTGGACTAGTTGCTCTTCAGCTGTATCTGACATTAACCACTGGCAAACAGGCCAGGACTTAAGGAAGAGACCTTGCGCTTGTTATTTATGCAACTTTGAATTGTCAGAAAAGCAGTTTAGGAACAATATTGTAACATCAATCTATGAAGCCTATGGTTATCATACTGAAAAGGCTGGCTTGAATTTTCAACAGTTGTTCGGAAGTGAAAGCTTCTTGTTTATGGCCAAACTCCTTGAAAAGCAATTGCACTTTTCGATACTGTAAGGTGTAGGTCTTGAAATGTCGTTGAAATTTAAATTAAAGTCCTTGAATAAAATCAATATCTGTGAATTGCATACATAATCCTCATAAGATATTGGCAGTGAAAGGTCAGTTCATTCTACATGTACAGTGCTTTCAATACGATTTGCAGTAGGGGACTACTCTGATACAGTACCCATCAGAGAGCAATACTAAAGGTGCACAACAACTTCCTCTAGGGTGCCAATTTTATATGTAACTGTTCATATTATAACTGGCAATTCACAATAGAATATCCATTGTACCTCTAGCTGGTACCTATTTATACACCTGGGTAGAGAGAGGCACTGTGAGAGTGAAGTTTTTTTGCCCAAGAACTCAATGTTATGACCCTGGCCAAGGCTTAATCCAAAGTGTGCCACCATGTCCTCTAAATATGTAGCTGCAATGTCATCCCATACATGTAGGCACATGACTCCTCTCGCCCGAGACTCAGTCATGGAGAAAATGTGTTTGATTCATTGCCCCACTTCCAAGTTTTTGGTGTTCCCAAGTCAAATATGCTTCATATAGTATTACATGTTCAAGTCCAGAGTTCCAGATAATTTTTCAACGCAGTTTGTCGATGAGGAATTCCAACAGATAAATTCCCACTGTTCTCACCAAATCAATATAAATTTTCGATTAATTTGCTGGGTCATGCAACTGACCTCATCAGGTCTTTGACCTGAGACCTTTCACTTCTCTGGAACAGAGCAAGTCACCCTCGTAATCACCTCTTTTATCCATATGGTCCCTTGATGTTCGTGTATATACAGACAAACACTTGTCTGACCCTAAGAGAAAAGTCCAGCTGCCTTCATCTGGTGCTAAAGTTTAAACGAAAATCAGCAAACAACAATCATGAAACTGCTACATGTACATTTATGAACAATGAACACTGAACATTAGCATTCCCAATTTGTGATTTGTGTATCTTTCTCTAACAAGGAAGAATGAAAAATCATTTGGCAACTAAGAGGATGGTTTAATTTTAACTAAGTTTGGCTGCCCATAAGTGCCATGGAATAAGTACATTTAGCAACAAATTATGGAAGCAGGCTGACGTTGTCGTTGACAATGTTGCATGTAATAATTTTTCTAGGACTGACACAGACACAGAAATTCAGTTAACTCTCCATGCCATGTTTGCCTATGACTGTCAGATCTTTCGCTTTCTAAAGAGCTGCAGTTGCTGAATTCATATTAGAGGTGGAAAACTGTCTTGGACTGAAAACTTGTCTTCAAATGGAAAACTTGTGTGGCATGAATCCAGTAAAGGATGGGTTTCCCTTTTTTCAACGAGAAAACAGGACGGAAAACTCATCTTAGACAGAAGACTCACTTAAATTCATACTTGGCATGAAAATCATGACAAGTTTCAGTCGTGATTTTAAGGTGGGTTACCCTCATTAAATTCATATTAGACTGTATCCTGTCAAAAGGAATTCCATCCGTGACTAGTTTCTCTAGTTTAAAATATCAATACGGCTAGTGATGCACACACTTGGGAATATTTAACAGGAAAAGTAAAGTACTTTAATAAGACCCAGCCTGTGGTTTGCACTAACATTAACTTTCACATTTTCACAATTCACAAGTTTGCAGATGTCAAACTACATGTATGTTAACATAAAAATACACCCACCAATTTCCATGGCTATGAATTGTATACCATATAGGGGTTGTTGTAAGAACTTCACTGATGCAACTCCCACATGTAATTATAACCTGAATAGAGCAGTTTTCATTTGAGTGTCAAAAGGTAATTGGTTTTGTATCACCATGTTACACGATTGGCTTAAGAAATGTATGCCATTTTTTCATCCAATCGTGCATATTTCTGGTGCTTTGTGTCACCTACATGTAATTATTTTGAGTTTTGATTGGTTCACTGGATTTTCTGTGTCCTTTGTGATTTGGCTAGAGTGATTACTTTGGTTCTGGTTTCAAAACACTCAATTGAAAACCACTCTAATACATATATTTCATAATACATCAACAATACATCAGCATTGTTTGAAATATAGATTTATTCCAAGAAATGAGAGTGATATAAAAAAAGCCCCATTTTCTTACAACTAGTAACACACTGCAAGTCACAATCCAATTTTTTTCCTGTAATGTTTTGAGCCCAACAAATTCGTCTAATCCGTCATAAGTCAAATGTAAATCCAAATATAGTCCTTTTGATCAAAGGCTTGCTCCTGTCGTTAAGAAGATCACGTGGTCCTTCTTCATTTGGTGACAAAGTCAAACTTGGGAAATTCCTCCAGATTTCCTTCTCCAAACCGCTTTTGTATCTGCTGCTTTTCCACCTCGACTCTAGCCTTCTTCTCGGGCGTAAAATCGACTAATTCTCCACCTGAGGCTTGGCTTTTCTTCTTGTACTCTTGCAATTTCTCCACGAATAATTTCTGTATGGGGTCAGAGGTCTTGTCTTTCGCTAAAACAGCTGCCATACCGATGCTTCTTCTACAAGTGGCCATGAATGAACCGGTTGTCGGCGAAACAAGACGTGAAAAACGAAAAACTGCCGCCATATTCATGCACCAAAACCAGCTCTGATATTCAAAATGGCGGACAATCGCTGTGTATTGCGTGGTCTCGTTTTGAAGAGAAGGCAATATCAGTTTAGTCTCCAGTCTTTTTACACGTGATAGAAATCTCGGTCAACATGGCGGACTCAGCGAAAGTTGTGAAAGTCGGCTCGCGTAAAAGTCAGGTATGTGATTTGTCACGAAATTAACTTTTTTTTAATTGAATCGATTGTTGAGATTAAAAAAAAAAAAAACGTTTGTAAATGCCCCCGAACACCACGAAAGACTCTTCTGTCATCCATCTTAAAGCAAAGATTTTCTAATCCGACTGTTCTTGGTCTCGAGATCTTTCCAAATTCGATCCTCTAATTTGTTTTTGACTATTGGGAAGTTAATTACAAGTATAATTTAAGATCATTTATTCATCATGACAGTATATTAAGCTGTCAAACATTATTTTTGTTGTTGTTGATGTTGCAATGTCGATCGCGTCGTGTAGTGATCAAATAGTCAAACATTTTAACCCGGACATAGGGGCATTCATTTTTTTATCCGCACCCCCACTATGGAAGGCAGATTCTGGCAGCCTAGTTTTTTTTGTTGTCAGCACCTTTAAAGTTTGCATCGGAGGAGTTGTTGGCTCCTTTGAAAAAATCTCCCAACAGCCGAAGCTTCAGTGCCAGAGATTGTCCCCCATAGGGGTGGGGGGTGGGGGGGCGGGGGGTGTTGCAGAAAAAAATGGAATGTATCTTTCGTGTACCATGGGCATTTGACTAGACTGACTAGTTCAAGGCCCCAGGGGCTCTAGAAGGTGCGAATTTGACCAGACGATGATTCGGACACTTGAGTTAGAATGTCATTAACAATTCATTTTATATTTCAAGATTCTTGGTGTAGTTTGATAGCCAGCTCTATAAGCTTTAATTTGATATAGGGGTTTAGGTATCTGCAGTTAAAACTGGATGCGCTACATCGCTTGGATGTGAGGCACCTCTAAAGATATACAGTAGCCTTAAGGTTGATTTCCAGTGAGTCTCCATTTTGTGACTCAATAGAAAAATTAGGGATCTGGGCTACTAAATTTGAAAGTAAACAGGGTTGTTGTTTTTGGGACGTTTTCAGTATATTATACTACACAGGCCACTGTATCAACTAATAGCTGAATGATACACTCTATGTCACTTTGAGGGGGTTTTTCGATTAGTTTGTAAGCCCTGGTGTCATTGGCTGGAGTGTTTCCCTATTAAATAACTACTATACTGGTAATCATTATTTGAAATAAATTTGAAAAATGAATAACATTGTTAATTAATGTAGACATTTTGTTTCATGACTTAATTAAATTGGCCTTAATTTGTTTCATTTTAAACAGCTTGCACTCATTCAAACTAATGTAATTATAGAAGAACTAAAGAGGGTTTGTTCTGATGCATCATTTGAAATTGGTAAGTACTAAATTGTTAGCTGTAATCCACCCTGTTACAATATCACTTTTTAATTATTTGAGTTTTTAATCAAATATGGAAATTCTCATCACAAGTGCAAACTAAAATAACATGACTGTACATACTGTACATGACTGTCCTGGCCTCGTCCCATTTCTCTTTGAAAATGATTTATTAATAAAATGAATTACTACAGGAATGGTTTTTATATAACTATATCATAAGTCTCTAGAGGTATTTCAGGGATTGTTTCTTTAGTGAGCATATAATATTATAAGTACAGTACTTAGTAAGTGTCTGCATAGTCTGTTCAACACAAAGTTTGAGCTCACACCTGTGTCTTACCTGTGAACTGAATAATGAATCATACCATGTGAAATTACTTGTCATGAGCTATTAATATGCACCTTTTTAGATGTAGGTCTATTAAAGTTAAGATCCTGTTTGCTTCCAAAGATTTTATAGACCACAAGCTGAGTTATACAACTAAAGGCAACATGCCTGACCTAGATGTCGTTTCTTTTTAGTGTCAATGTCTACTGTAGGGGATAATATTTTGGATAAAGCATTACCTAAAGTGAGTAATAAAATGTTGAATACCTTACACCTATGGTAATGTATTAATAATAATTGTGTCATCGACACACTCAGGTTATTAGTGATTAAAGTCTGACCTGATTGTTAGGAAGTAATATCTGCCAAGTTACTCAAAATCAATATCAGTTATAAGAGATAATAATTGTGTAAACATGTTTTTTTTTGTAAATCTACAGATAGGAGAAAAAAGTGTTTTCACAAAGGAATTAGAAGTTGCTCTAGCTAATAAAAGGTTTGTGTCATTATGATAGTCAAAATTTATCAACTGAAATTTCTTACTTAATATGTGATTAGTAAATATTATGTTAATTAACAAATAATTGTGGTAGAATTTACACATGTAATAATTGTATGTATTATTTATTAGTATTTTTTCTAATTGTTTGCCATATTTAAACAAAAATGCTATGAATAAATTTTAATTATTATCAAATTTTATTTATTAAATAAATATTATTTTTTGTTTTTAATTGTGGGAAGTAATTTTTGCCCATTTTTCAAATATTAATTAAGAATCAACTGTGTAAAATGTTTTCAATGTTTTCTTTGTTTTATTGTTTAGTGTACATTTTGTGGTTCATTCACTAAAGGATCTTCCATCCACTCTACCACCAGGCATGCTGATAGGAGCTGTCTTCAGGTAAATGATTTTAACTTGAAAGAAAGACCATAAAACTAGGACTAGTATTAACTTTCATTGTAAAATGTACAGTTGTACAAGCTGCCTTGGGCCCAGGTACAAACATATGCAGTCTTTTCTTAGAAGCAGGACACATAAGAAAACTTAATTGCCTCTATGACTAGAAAGAAATAGAGAGGAAAGAACCACAATCTGTTTGGCAACACAATTTTTTTTTTATGACAATGAGTAGTTGTCACAAGGGATCTCACTATGGTGGTCTAAAAAATTTTGCAGAGATGAGTTGTCCCGTGTATTTCTCAAATGTATTAATATGTTGATTTAGGCTATGTGGAGTGGTTCAAAAACTCTGCACAGTTAATTTGAGGATGTGCTGTTAAACATTTTTCTGTTCGGTCATTTTAGGGGACCTGAGAATTCTTGAATTTGTTAGGAATTTTTTTGTCCATTCCGGAAAAACCTTAGCAGCTGTTGCCTTTCTGAGAATCAAAGCTGGCATTTCTATCGAGTGCATCCAAAAGTTCAAGGTGACAACTCAATCAACAAAATTAGAGGGTATTAAATGCTTTTAGTAACTGCTATGAATTGATAATTTACTGAATGATATGACCTGTTGGGTGCTCTTGACCTTTGGGTTCTGTTTGTTGATATGGGATTTCTTTATTTATTTAGACGAGACAGTCCCTATGACGTGGCTGTTTTTCATCCAAAGCACAAAGGTTCTACTCTTGCTTCATTACCTGAAGGAAGGTGAGTATCTGTCATTTTTTTTAGTATCTGTTTTAAAATTCAATTTGAAATGATATTCACTTGCTACTTATTGTGTGATATTTTTTATTATAAAATATGTGAGATACTATGCAGACTCTCATTGGTCGATAGGTGTGTAAACACAGTTGTTATGTTTAAAGATTACTAGTAAGAGTACTTTTTCCTTGTTTACATAGCCTCATCTAAACACTTTGGGGAACTGGGATGATTCTCAAAAGTTATGTAAACCTGGGACTGCATCTCGGGTTTGCATATAGTCTCTAATTCTCTGAACCCATCTTCTGTTAAGATAAGGCTGAGTAAACACGGAAAAAGTGGTGTACTGCTTAGTTAAATTATTAAAAAGTTAATCCTTTTTTGTAACCTGATCTTTCTTTTTCAGTGTGATTGGAACAAGTTCACTGAGACGCAGTGCACAGCTAAAAAGAGCTTTCCCACATTTGATCATAGAAGATGTTGTATCCTCCATGTTAAATAAAATGTATTAAAAGGAGAAAACGTTCTACCACATTTCCCAGATTTTAATGCACTGTAAGGTTGACTATCATTGCAAAGCACTTCACACAGATTAAAACACGCACGCACAGATCAAAACACGCACGTGCAGATTAAAACACGCATGTGCAATTCAAAACACGCACTGCTCTTAAAACACGCACGCACAAATCAAAACCGCCACACGAAGATTAAAACACGCACGCATTGATCAAAACAGCCACGCGCAGATTAAAACACGCACGTACAAATTAAAACACGCAAGCACAGATCAAAACAGCCTCGCGCAGATTCTGTAAAACACGCACGCATTGCAGACCTGTACAGATCGCAAGTGTGGTTTGTTGTGGCTTGTGCTTGTTGTCCTTAACAGCTTATTTCTCGTGATCAGCGCGGAAATCTGAACACAAGGCTAAACAAGCTTGACGCAGGTGATAAGTATGATGCTCTCATTCTGGCAGCGGCTGGAATGGAGCGCNCACAGATCAAAACAGCCACACGCAGATTAAAACACGCACGTACAAAGTAAAACACGAGAGCACAGATTACAACAGCCTCGCGCAAATTCTGTAAAACACGCACGCATTGCAGACCTGTACAGATCGCAAGTGTGGTTTGTTGTGGCTTGTGCCTGTTGTCCTTAACAGCTTATTTCTCGTGATCAGCGCGGAAATCTGAACACAAGGCTAAACAAGCTTGACGCAGGTGATAAGTATGATGCTCTCATTCTGGCAGCGGCTGGAATGGAGCGCATGGGCTGGGCTGAACGTATTGAGCAGGTAAGAGATGGATTGCTTTTTTCTCTTTACCTAGTCTTAACTACTTCACTTACACGTAACTACGAAATACTTTATAAGAATGTAGAATCTGATATCTTAAGAAAAACGTCGCAAAATTATCAGTGAGAGTAGAATTATTCGCATCTTCTTCAGTTATGTTTTCGTTGCGTTGGCGGAATCAAGAGATCGTCATGTTGAGGGCGAGAGATGACTGACACTTCAGGCTACTCTTGTCGGGATAGAATGATCAACTTAATGTTTTTGGAAAGATAGACACTGACAATAGACGATGTCGTGATGGAAAGTTTTGAGAAGAAGAAATGAATCAGTCACAGTCAGTGCACGGTGGAACCTGAGTAATCTAATCATGACCAACAAGAGGCCACAGATATATTACCGTATTAATGAGGAGAACGAATTAATTAAAGTGTACCCTGGGTAAACGAGGTTTTATTTTTCTTTCTCGCGAGCTAAAAAAAGACCCTCTTTAACCCAAGATATAATTATGGGGGCTCTTAAGTAATAATGAGACTAACTGAAGTTTTCTTCTAGCTAAAAGTAAGAGACAGTGAAAACGAGATGGCCACATAAACAAATTAACAAGTGGTCGTAAGTCGCAAGGCGAGGTTTTACTACTTACAGTGAAGGCCAAGTGACAATCGTAGTTCTTTTTCCGAAATTTTTACTAATTTAATTTTCAATTGTTGCTTTGTTTTTCTTGCAAGGTTCTTGGTGCTGATGAATGCTTGTACGCTGTAGGACAGGTTGGCAAAAATAAATTGTGATAATTATATGTTTTTTAACGATACGTTTGTTAATCTCTTTACCTCGTAAGTGCACTGTAGTGCACTGTAGTGTATATGGAGACAAGACGTGTGTATAGGTTGTCATGTAATTATGAGACTGTCTCTTGTTTTAGGGAGCTCTAGCAGTTGAAGTCAATCTTGACGACAGTCAAACCATTGAATTGGTGTCCAAACTGATAGATAATCACACAAGTTTGTGTTGTGCGGCCGAAAGAAACTTCTTAAGAACCTTGGTGAGGAGTTAGTTAATGATATCCAATGTGTTTCTCCGTGTTGTAACAAGACCAAGAGCAAATTTAAACAACTATCGAGTAAGTTCTTATCTGTGCGCAATGGTTGCCCTGCAATTCTGAACATAGCGGCCCATCTGGCCAGCACTTACCTCCGGTTTCTGTGGTATGAAAGTACTAAGAATATTTCTACTCCCCCCTGGATGGGATATTAGTCCATCGCAGGGCTACCCTCAGCATTAAATTCACGGAAACCCATTTATACACCTCAATGAAAACGGGCAATATGAGTAAGGTGTCCCACCCAAGAACAAAACGGCAATGTCCCCGGCCAGTGCTCACACCCGGACCGCTTGATCCTGAATGCAGCGTGCTAACCATTAGGTCACCGCGCCTCCCTCAAGCAAAGATTAACAAGTACCGTAACGTACCGTAACGTAACGTAACGTAACGTAACGTAACGTAACGTACCGCTTTCATTAGGTTTTAAAACTAATTTCTGCAATCTCTTTGGACTCTGCTGTTTGATATATTGCCAAGCCAACCTGATCCAAGTGGGTTAGAGTTTATTCACTGACTTCGTGGAACAAAACTGCATAAGTGATCTTGTTACCAGGGGACGAGCAACTAGGCTGTTTACAGCCTCTCACTTCTTCAACGCACACGAAAGAAACAGCGAGCGAGAAGGGACGTGGAGTCGAGCGAAGCGAGCCAAAGAATGGGTCCCCACCCTACCCCGTCAAGTCTTCTGTTTTGCGCTGGTACGCATCCAGTTCTCACGCGATTCCATCTGTACATTCAGTGATCGAATAAAAATACGGGAAAATAGAGGGCTATGAACAGTCTAACGAACAACTTGCATAGATTATTAATACATGGTACACTTTTTTACATAGGAAGGAGGATGTAGCGTTCCCATTGGAGTAACGTCTAGCCTGGATGGCAATCAGGTGTGTCATGCAGTTATTAAGTTAAAGTTTACTTTTTAATGAAGCGCAGGGCCTGGTCTCAATTTAATGCGGTAGACAAAGTGTTTTGCTCTCCTACCTATCGTTGAATGGGATGCTAGTCTACACAGACAGTTCATTTTACTTGGCTGACGAAATATTATAATTACCGGTAATATTCCCTTGGAAATATCCATTTAGAAGCAAGTCGAGAAAACAAGAGACAGGACTGGGGACGAAAGTTGTCTCCCCAGGCCCCTTCCCAGTTCTTTGCTTCTCCTTCCCGGAATTAACGTAAGCTCTGTTCGTCAGCCTCCTTTTTTGGAGATGAGTTGCTAGAGACGAGGACTGGGGTGAGCTTTCTTTTTTCTTTTTTAGTTAACCATTACAGGTGCTGTGTTTAGCTTGGACGGAAAAGAGTGCCTCAAGGCCACTGTATCTGGAACCCTTCCGGAGCCCGTTGTCCAAGGTGGTAGCTGCCCTCATGCCGTGCTAACCCAGTCCAGCATTTATGTCCCAGATGGATTGCGTGACTCTCTTGTCGCAGCTGAGAAATTAGGAGAGCAGTTAGCGCGAGCTTTGATCGCCAAAGGAGCCGTTGAAGTGCTGCGTAAAGCTAGAGAAGAAAAGGATCTCGCACAGCAGTGAAGAAATCCTGCTTAAACTGACAATGCTTGTTAGGATACCTAAATCTTAAAATTCCAGCGAGTCTGCAAGACACTTTTGCTCGTCACGCAATCTCTCCTTGCGTTGGTAACGAGCCAAACATCTAATTTTTCCCTACAATATCGAATGCACAATCCGTCACACAGGTAATGAGATTCAATAAAATCCTCCACCTGGTCACAGAGGCCCGTCTTGTCATTTCTGCTCTTTTGACAGTGAGTTGACCCTGCGACATTTGGAAAATGTGGGCCTTGAACATAGTATACTGCTTGTGGTCGGCTCTTTCTCTTGGAGTCCAGCGAACGTTAATCCTTGCTCACGCGAAGGAAAAAAAAGGCGCTATTGGGCCTCCTCGTCCTGTACCCAGTCTATTAACAATTCGGGGTGCGCAAGCTTTTTATAACAATTATTTCTGGCATAATTAAAAAAAGTTTCATGTTAATATATAGCTGTGCAGCGCTTTAATTGAATCAATGGGCCGCGGAGCAACTCGTGTACTCAACACGAACCTGCAGTGTTCGTTGATCAGCGGTTCAATGCATGGATCTTCGTGGCTTCACGTAAGATTTTGTTTGAAGACATAAGTAAGTTATTGCAGTGATAAAATTACCGACATAGGCCACGTCATCGAGCGAGTGAATTTCCGAATGTTGCTGTGGTCGTAAACAACATTTGTTTATTATCATTAAAGGCTA